CTGACTTATGGTGACCCTATCCTACATTTTCATTTGTCATAATCTACCCTTAGGCTGAGAAAATGTGACTTACCTTAGGACACCCAGTGGGTTTCCATGGCTAAGCAAGTATTCAGACTCTAGTTCCCAGGAATTCTAGTTTGTTACTCAAAATGCTACACCATGTGTGCGTATAGTCTTAAATGTACATATTTCATACACAATGATTGGATTCAGCCCAGATTTTTATTGTAATTATTCAAATATAATCACACTTGTCTTTCCCCATTTGTGGACTTGGAGTCCATGGTCTCACTCCTTCATGGACAGCAAGTGGGGAGGGATAAAATGATGTATGTGCCTATGACGCACATCTATTAAAATCAATGGGTCTCCAATATTTGCGGTTTTCCGATTCACAGGGGGGGGGAGGTCTGGAAATCCTTGAAATTTTCAAATACATCAGTATGGTTTGGAGGCAGAGCATGTATTTATTCTGCTTCTCTCTTACTTGCACACCCATTCACACATGTTAGGAAAGGTCTACTAGGGCAGTCTGCAAAAAAGGGAGCAGTTGAGCATTAAACTGTTTTGAGATCATGTTGTTGTTTTTCTGATAACCACCAGGCACTTCACGTATATATACATATGTATAGGAGATAAAACAAAAAAAGAATTATTACTATTTGGGGATTTGTTTTATATTTGGAAGCTCCTTGAACTCCTGTCCATCTGCTTTGTGGCTTTCCCAAGGAATTCAATGTAGAAGATAGTAAAAAGGTAAAGGTAAAAGTATTTCCCATTGACAAGGTTGTCAAGTCATGTCCAACCATAGGGGGTGGAGCTCATCTCCGTTACTAAGCTGAAGAACCAGCATTGTCAGAGACTGTGATCATGTGGCCAGCATGATTACACAGAATGCTATTTACCTTCCTACTGAAGTGGTACCTATTTATCTACTTGCATTTGCATGCTTTTGAACTGCTAGGTTGGTAGAAGCTGGACTAGTGACAGGAGCTCATCCCATCATGCAGCACTTGGGCCTCAAACTACCAACCTGCCAATCTTGCAATCAACAGAGTCAGTGTCTTAACCACTTGAGCCACTGCAACCATCATAAAACTCTCTGAAGCAGAGCAACTGGAAGGTCTGTGCCAGGTATGTCATCAAGATCTCCCATTGCTTCTTTGACAGTGTAGGTTGGTTTTAATCCTGCCAAGAAAAATGAAGGCAAAGCCTTTCTGAAGCTGCACCATACCTTCTAAGCACACTGCTGTGAAAATACAATGTGGACTCATGATCCAGAACAAGCACAGAAAATTGTTAAAGAGAGAAATTTGTGTTCCAAGATAAGGAGAGAATTTAATCTTATTCTTCTCCTTAGACTTGTGATATCTGACAGTTATTTTTTTTTTTTTAGTAGTATATTGGTCCATTGTACAAATTAAAGAACTAAAATTTTTCCACCTTTAATTCTGTCCTCTGATGTACGAAGGACTTAGTGAGTCCAATGAATCCTAAAAATACAACTCTAAATGACGTATATAGGAGAAGGTGGCCATTGCAGTTTGTCCTAATATCCTTGGTACAACCTGTCAGAACCCAAAAGGGTTTAGGTTCTGCCATTATGTATGAAGTTGGAAATGTATATATAAATCCTGTATTGGTTTGTGTTATATGTATATATACATATAGAAGGTGTTATCTGTATTAGGCAAGTTTAAATTTTGGCACTGATTTCAAAGAACAGTTGGGAGGAGCTTTATTGCACTTGCTGAGCAGAAATCAAAAGGTTACATCATAGTTACTAGGCAAAAAAACAAAAGGTTGTAGTAGAGTCACCAGGCAGAAATCAAGTGGTTACATAGAAGTCACCAGACAGAATTGAAAAGGTTACATTGCGGTTACCAGGCAGAAGTCATATTGTTACATTGCATACAGGTGGGGCTAGGTAACTCCAGTCTATATAGAGAGACAAGAAGGCAAAGGAGGTCAGTATCAGCCTAAATGCTGGCTGATCACTACTGTCCTTAGTCTGCAATAAAGTCGTTTTGTTCTTTCACCAAGACTATTGTCTGAATCCTTGGAACAGAGCTGACTAATCCTGACACAGCCTTAGATCTTTTGTACTGAATCCAAATCAACAACCTCCAAAGAGCTTTTAAACCAAAGTGCTTCTGAATCACCATTCTAAGAACATAATGTATTATTGAAGGAACTTCCTCAGTCTTTCTTGTTTAGCAGGCAGGCTAAGGAACACCATTGTGAAACATGAAAGCTAAGTCATTGCATTGAGACCTTTACCTGGTTCCCTCCTCCTTTTTTTTTTAAAAAAAAAATACTGCATTTTTGAATGTGTATCTGTCTGATCCAAATGACATTTTGTTTGACCCCCCCCATGAGCCACAATTCCCTATTCTCAGCTTTAATTTCTTTTCTTTTTAAAACAAGTTTCTAACTCTTGTAGAAGCCAAGATATCAGGCAAAATGTACAGTCACTGTATATCTTCCTTGCCACTTTGCTGTTTCCAAACCTGGTGTAAGGTCAGTAAACAGCTCCTGAGCTGGGCTTGACCAAGGTCATCTGCACTCTCAAGTGCAGGGAATCATCAACAAAGTGTATGAATGGCACATAAGACCTTTGCTGTTGTGTGCCTTCCAGTTGTTTCTGACTTGTGGAGACCCTAAGGCAAACCAATTGCATGGTTTTCTCAGCAAGATTTGTTCACAGGGGGTTTGCCTTTGCCTTTGCCTTTTCCTTTCTCTCAGGCTTTGACACAATGGCTTGCCAAAATGGGTTTCCATGGCTGAGTGAGGATTCAAACCCTAGTCTCCAGAGTCAAAGTCTGACACCCAAACCACTATACCATGCTGGCTGTATACAGGCCATCTCCCTACAAAAATATACAGCTCCATGCCACATTACTAAAGTTGTGACAGCAATAGTGAAACAAACAAAGCATCTGCAGTAGTAGCTTATCCAACATAAATTCTGAGATAACAAATGGAGGAAAGGGGTAGACAGACAAAGCTAGAGTGACAGAGACACTACAGACAGACAGGATATATCCCACTCTGCAGAGCCTATGTACCTTATATCTAGAAAAGAAAGGTCTCAACCATTCTCCAGAGCTCATAAAGTCTTCACAGGCCTTCAAAGTGATGCCACTTGGCTGGAGAGGAGAAAGGAAGGAAAATGGGATTCCCCTTCATTGAAACATGCACAAATCAGAAATAGTCCGCTCATTTTAATCTGAGGGTCTCAGCATCTGGTGGACCTGCTATTGAGTCTGCTGGATCAATACCATGTTGAGTCTCCCTTATCCAAAATGTTTGGGACCAGAAATGTTTTGGATTTTGGAATACCCATATTTGCATAAAGATATGCAATGAGATATCTTAGAGATGGGACCCAAGTCTAAACACAAAATTCATTTGTGTTTCATATACACCTAATACACATAACTTAAAGGTAATTTTATATAACATTTTAAATAATTTTGTTCATGAAGCAAAGTTTGTGTACACTGAACATCAGAAAGCAAAGATGTCACTATCTCAGCTGCCCATAAAAAGGTTTTAATTTTTGGAATATTTAAGATTTTGGAATTCCAGATAAGGGAGACTTGTACCATAAATAAGAGGTTTATTATTTGGCA